TTTTGCGACATTTTCGGCCCAAAATGATCCACGGTGCCCCCTAACCCCCCATACCCTCATCATATCATGTAACGGAACCCCCTATACCCTAGCCCCCTACAACACTTTAACCTATACATTTGAATGTGCAACGGCCCTGCTTACCTCGACATGACGGCACGCAAAACACCCACCCCATAAACGATGGACCATACTGCTGCTGTACATGACACAACCAACACTCGACTCTTCGTTTAAAATGAACCCGCGGCAGATACTAGCGCCCGAACTACGAAGTAACGCTGCCCTCTAGCTACCGAGGGTAATCCGAAAAACATTCGGCAGGCATGCCACAAAAACCGCAATCTCTTAAAAAATGATTTGCACATGATCGCCACAAATCAAACACACGGACTCAAACCAACTGGACACCTGGCTATCCCCCGCGTGCGCACGTCCGAGTACCGGAGAAATTATTCAACAGACAATTTCCACGCTCCCCACGCTCCGCGCAATATCGAACGAAGCACCAAAGGCCGCAGTGCTCGCTCCCTCTTCCACGCCGTGAAGACCTCGTTCGCCCTTAGGATGGCCTTACACCTCATCTCCCGCTCGGCCGCTAGCGCCTCCCTCTCTGCTTCCTTTTTCGCCTCCTTCGACTTCCCTGCCTTCTTGCGCCGGGCGATTTTTGAGCGGTGAGGTTGCGCCGCACTCCGAGGCGGCCCAACCTCTGGACACACAGCAGTCTCTGCCGTTCGAACTGCTGCGGACATGACGCATGCATCAGCAGACCCTACGAAAGACAGCGTGGCCTGTCCACTACCTGAGGAGGCACCAGTGCTCTCGTCGCGATAGTCCTCGTCGCGGTCTTGGTCGTCATCGACTTCCATGGTAGAGAGGGTGCTGTCATCGGGGGTTGGTGGATCGGCAGCTGACGCAGAGCACTCACGGCGCTGGAATTGGCCGCCGCTTCCCCTTTGAGGTGTGCGGCGGCGCTTATTCCGCCGACCCATGACGAATTTGGGTGCTGAGCACCGTTGCAGAGCGTGTGGGGGTGGGTTGCGCCCTGCGCACAAGCTGGGTGGGGGCTCGCGTAGCCACGGGGGAAAACTCCTCCCCGCTTGCTGGGCGGCCAAACAAAATACAAATATCTCGAGAACGGGAGTTTTTTTCGACAATCGAAAAAAAAAAACACCTGGGGATTTTCGAGAGGAATCGATTGCCGCGGTCTATTTTAAAATAGTACGGTTGAATATCGCACGAAAAACCAAGCCGAATGGGACCCCAGATCTAGTTTTTCGTCCATAACTTTTTTTTTCCCTCAAATCGAAATCGGAAAAAAAAAACCACCTGGGGATTTTCGAGAGCTATCGAAATCCGGTCTCAGAATTGTGCTCTGAGAAAAACACACCCCAGGAAAAACCAAGCCAATAATTCGGGATATTTGGAAATAACGAAGAAGCGGAACACAAAAATAAAAATCGCTTTCCGTAGATCGATGCGCCTGGAAACAGGGCGTTTGCCGGTACTTTCGGAACTCGGAACAACCACCTGTGTGCAGAGAAATGTGCACCTAAATGCCGGACTCGTCATCGGACAAATTGTCTTGGATGGACCATACCAGAGATTCAAACAGTATCGCCTAACCAAGATTCCGCTTTTATCTTACGAGCGATTCTGACAGTACGGTCGATCTCGATTCTGCTATATCTACGAGAGATTTTTTGACAGTGCCGCCGAACCCGACTTCTGCATTATTTTGAGAGAGATTCTGTCAGTATCGCCGATCCCAACATCAGCATAAGGTTAGGGAGGTTCTGACCTTGCCCCCGAACATCACGCCGCGCATCACTATGTACTCTACGGTCACCTGGTCGGCCGCTCTAGGACATCCTCGATGGTAGGCTCGGGCCAGTTCTTGGGGTTTGCCGACGGCAAGGGGTTCTGTCGCCCTCTGAGTGTCCTCCACAGCCGCTGTGCCATGTTTCCCTGCTGCTTTCTCCGCCTTACGTGGCGCAACAACAGCAAGTGGCGGGACGAGAAGAAGACAAACAAGGTTGTGCGATGGACCAACAAGAGGAGAGATACGCACGGTACTGTGCGGAACAGCCAGAAGAGGAGGAAGAAGGTCCGGTGGCGCAAGAACAACAAGTGGATCGACAGCAAGACTTAGCGGGACAACAAGAAGAGAAAGGTCGGGTGAAGGAACAGCAAGAAGAGCACGAACAACGTCAAGTGGCGGGAAAACAAGAAATAAGACGGTTAAGGGGTGTCACAACAACAAGAGAAAACAAGGATAAGTCGCGCAACAATAACAACAGGCAGCAGGTCAAGTGGCGGAACAACCAGAAGAAAAATGAGAAGGGCATGGTTGACCAGCAAGCCCAAGCTTCGAAGCATAGCCTCGCAAAGGACATCCACCACACGCATTCTGCAGTTTTGGTGCAGTTGCTCTTGTTTTACTTCCGCAGCTCCCGAGACTCCTCTAACTACGCTAGATACCTCTTCGAACACGGTGATAGCGAACCACAGTACCGCGGTGGGTGCTGTGGGTGCTGTGGGTGTGGTTTTATTATTGGCATCGACCGCGCTAACAGGCTAACCAACGAAAAGACGTCAGTGTCAGCGGGAAAAACCAAGCTCCCTGGAAGTGTGTGTGTGAGTGTTTCTTGGCCCCATCCATTCTGTTCTGTCACCACTCTACACCCTTCTACACCCTTCAGTGAACATACACTTCGATGTATGCTTGCTTCACCGGCCGGGGTAAACATGTTCTCCCACCTTTCTTCCTGTGGTGCTAGCCTTCTCAATATCTTGCTCTGCTGTGGTATGAGATAGGAGCTGGTACTGCATTGCCCGTTCTCACAGGCTTCTTGAGTTGAATGCATACACCTACGTGGTCTGCTGGGAACAGCCGGCGTTCTCCTTCCGACTCAAAAAGGTTCGGGGGGCCCATGCATCACAACAGCACCCCCCCCCCCCCCCCCCCCCCCCCCCCCCCCCCCCCCCCCCCCCCCCCCCCCCCCCCCCCCCCCCCCCCCCCNGAATGCATACACCTACGTGGTCTGCTGGGAACAGCCGGCGTTCTCCTTCCGACTCAAAAAGGTTCGGGGGGCCCATGCATCACAACAGCCCCCCCCCCCCCCTCCCGGCTTGAAAGGGTTGGTTGATGGTGTAATGACACAAGGCCGTAATGTCATGAGAGAATTTGACAGCAGCAACAACGACGACAACATGCCAGTCCCGAAGGCCAACACGTGTGGTACCCGCTAGGAATGTGGCCCTACACGACACGGGCAGGGTGTACTAATGAAAAACGCGTTCCGTAGTTGGTAAGACCAGTGACCTCGCATCCCGGGACGGAGCGATACGCCGGGTTTTCGCCAGCCCAGGCTACGTTTGGCAACGAAGAACCAGAAACTGGTCATCATCCTTAGGTTTGCTGTGTCTCAACCAGATATGGAATGGGTTGCGACACCGGTGCCGGAGGCGGCATGCACTACCGTAGGTTGCGCAAGAATACCGTATATGACACAAGATAACACACCCCCTGGGCCGATTTTCGAACTCGATTACTCCACCACGACGAAAAGGATGCATAATCGAAACGAAACGTTTTAGGAGAGCTCTGCACCCGACAGCTTTAACGCCGCCATTTTCGGCGCCGCGACTCTTTCTGCTGTTGACAAATCAACCTTTGAAAATCGGTCCAGGGGGTGTGTTATCTTGTGTCGGTGGTATACGGTACCGCACGCCCTGGACCGAATTTCAAAGCTGCATTGCTCTGCAGCAAAAGCAGTATGTAACGGTGCCGGAAATGGCGGGGCGATGAGCGTCTCGTCAGGAGCTTCCCGAAGACGGATCATTCGATTTGTACACCCTCTTCGTCGTCGTGGAGTAATCGCGCTTTGAAAGTATGTCCGGGGATTTTGGCATGTTATGGATGCGACCTACCGTAGTTTAGTACGATGCAGTGGAGAGATATAGACACACTCGTACACTGCAGGAGGGTAACGTGAAAGCGCGAGCGAACGGCACTGCTGGTGTGCGACCGATTATGAAAGCTTGATCGCTACACAATCAAGAGGCTGCCGATGCCAGAGAGGGGTAATGCCGGAAATACCTCCTCGTCGAGAGCATGACATCTTTCTTGTATCGACGGGGGGTCGCCACAACCAACCCCGTTGGTGGGGGAGTAATATCGATCTTTAAAAAATATATCAATCGCACACCTGATGTGCCTTCGCCTGCGCTATCACGGTAGAATGCTGTTTCATGGACAGTCGTCGGGAGCGCGTCAATGTTATACTTTTATTTCCTAAGAGTCGCCGTCTGTTGAACTTGGGAAGACACGCGTGCGGCTTTGGTGGACGCTATTTTAGCGCCCGTGACTGTCGGTTTTTCCGCGTGTCTTGATCGAGAGACACACCCCAATATCTAAAGGGAGTAGACTAGTGTGCAGCATTTCGATGTCATACCGAAGGAACAAGCGTAGACTCCATCCCTCAGTGCATTGTTGTCTTTTGTGCTGCTGGGGAATGCGGGTAAAACCCTTCCCCAATTGGCCGCAACGCCGGGACGTACGTACACCTACCCTCGCGCGTGTGATTACGCCGACTTTTACAATAGCACGAGCGTGAGCCTACTGCCGCAGCAGTCATGTCAGCATCAAGCATCTCCACTGCCGCCTAGAACTGCTGCATACCTCTCCTGTTGGTACTGCAATAGCAGTACTGGGGAAGGAAGGTGCTGCGCGGGGCCGTTGGGTGAACCACTCGCGTTGAGAAAAGCCAAAGTTGGTTGGCATATGCGTTTGGCTTTGAAACAGTTTCCCATTTACAGCATTATCGTCATATGCTGTGTGCTCTCTCGTTCCATCCTTATTCTAAGTGTTGCTGTGCCTCGCTACTGTGAGTGCAGCAGCAATGGCTGCGGTGGTAGCGACATCAGCGTACACCTACCAGCACCGCCGCAAGTCGGCCCGACAGCAGCAGCAAGCAGCGCAGTTTCGAGGCATCGCAATGTACACATTTACCAGACACACCTAGAGAGAGTTTCGCGACCGCAGTCCAGGCCTCTCGGTGTAAGGTACCACAAACCAACAGCAAAGGCTTACTCTCTCTTGACAACCGACCCAACGTGTAGCTTCCCAACGGCGGCATGCACTGCACCAGACATGCACGTCTATGCTCTCGCTTATCTCTCGTACCTGGAAGCGCTGGTGGAAGCAACGGCCTCCGCCAGGGCAGGGTCGATATCCAACACCCCTTGCGTGGAGTCCTGCCTCATCATCAGCGGATCCTTATTCTCCCCTTCCCCATCCTCTGCTGCTCCGCTCAATCCCGCCACCGCCGCCATGGCGTTCTCTCTCGCTCACCCCCCGTTTGGTCCCGAATGGGGTGCTACTGCCTGCTGTCGCTTTTTAGCTCTCGTTGGTTCCTTTCGACTTCGGGAAAAACCACGTTCCCTCTGCTTTTCCCGCCGCTTTGCGCCACCCTAGGCTACGCTGGTACAGCCGGGAATATCACGCGGGGACGTCGCCGAGGCACCCTCCTCTGTCCTATTCCATCCGCAACGGCCGATAGCACAACCAACAACCTCTGGTGGCAGCAAGTCCTACACCTCGATAATGGGATGCCCTAGCGCCCGGACCGTTCTGCGACACAGTTCTGTCTTGCCGCCACCGCCGCCGCCGCCGCTTCCGCCGCCGCTTCCGCCCCCACCGCCGCCACCGCCGCCACAAAACCGACGCCGACCTGCCCACAACCGCAGGATCTTCCCTTCTGTGTGCAGTCGTACGGCGGGCAACACCAACCCCAAGCAACGCCCGTGTGTGTGCAAGGCAGAAGATGATAGCAGCAGCAGCCCACACCAGGCCGCCGAAACGGCTGGGGGCATCGCATCTTTCTTTCTGGATACACCCCCCCAACCCCACATTATTATTGGAGGTTCCACCCCCTTTGTCGCTGGAATCAAGGGTAGACTACACTGCAACACCGGTCGCCCCGGTGGTCTAGTGGTATCCTCGTAAACCGCTAGTCGCAGAGTTCGTGAGTTCGAATCCCCATGGGGTGAAATGAAACATTTACGGAATGTGCGGGTGAAAGCGAAGTATAGCTAAAATGCTCTCGTGAGTACCAAACTTCGACGTCAGCACCGTTGACGAGGGAAAGGGACGGCTGGACCCTTCTCGCGATAAAAATAAATTCAGCACGCACCGCAGGAGTTAGGTCCGGCATGAAAAGAAATAGTCTACTATTAGTACTAGATCGGGAGGTGGAATAGTTTTTTTTGGTTGAAAAAAATACCTGNTTCGTGAGTTCGAATCCCCATGGGGTGAAATGAAACATTTACGGAATGTGCGGGTGAAAGCGAAGTATAGCTAAAATGCTCTCGTGAGTACCAAACTTCGACGTCAGCACCGTTGACGAGGGAAAGGGACGGCTGGACCCTTCTCGCGATAAAAATAAATTCAGCACGCACCGCAGGAGTTAGGTCCGGCATGAAAAGAAATAGTCTACTATTAGTACTAGATCGGGAGGTGGAATAGTTTTTTTTGGTTGAAAAAAATACCTGCAGTAGGCTTGTGCGGGAATATATAGCCTACACATCGGATTGCATTCGTTCGCAGTCGCCCACATACATACNAATATATAGCCTACACATCGGATTGCATTCGTTCGCAGTCGCCCACATACATACGTGTCGATTTCAAGGACTCTGACCACAACCTGGTGCATACGACTGTCCGC